TGCGGGCCGTCCTCGCTGGCCGCCCGCGGTTGCGGAGCGCTGTGGAGGTGTGCGATGGATGTGCTGGGAGTGGAGTTCCCTTTTATTCTGTTGTAGTCGTTTCCTGGCTCATCTCCTCATGGCCTGTGGTCCAAGGAGTTGGGAAGCTCCGTCACATCATGCATTTTGCCATGAAGTATGCTTTGTTTCCCAGAGGAAGTGAAATGTTATTGGTGGTAATTCACTTTTGTCATGTTTGTAGGTTAAGTTTCTCTCAAAGCCACAAAGGAAAACCCCCCGGGTTTCTTTGGGAACTCAGAAAACCTTAGAGATACAGGGGATCCAGCAATGTAATTGGCTATGATTGCCAAAAGGCTGTCAAGTAAATGGAGCAGCTGGAACACGAGAGGAAAGGGTTCTACAGGCAAGTAGCTGCCGTAGGAAACGGGGGTAGCAGCACGTTCTTCCCACCTCCCGTGGTGGTTCACAGGCATCTGCCCTGGGCAGCTCAGGCTAGTTGACCGAGCTAGGTAAAGGGGTGAGCAGTGAAGTGAGAAGGCTTGGCGGTGATACTGAGCTGTGGAAAAATACTAAGGACAGGGGTCAGCTATGAAAAAGGAATGGAGAAAGGCCTTATAAGGCTGCCTGGGCAATGACATGACAGATGAAATGGCAGAATAAGGGATGTCTGAACTGAAACTTTCCGTGTAGAAGAATGTTCTGAGCTCGCTGTTACTGCCTGGAAGATAGATCTTGATGTTATGACAAAACAAAATTTTCATGGGACTGGACTGTGGTACTTTTCATAGGGCCTCTTGGTTGTGGCCAAAAGCAGATGCCTAGGGAAAAGGGAGGAAATTAGAGCAAACACACAGGGAGACTTCCCATGGCTGCTGTACCAGCCTCCAAGACTCTGCAATTCAGGGTCTTCTCTGATGAGAAATTTAAACTTGTAGTAGGTTTTTGATGGCCTGTTAGCCAGGGCAGAACAGTAGGATGTGTGATGTGGTCCATTTCAGCAGGGAGTTAGATTTTTTCGTGCATTTTGTAATCTGTGTAATGGCAAGATAAATGTCAGAAAGGATAGAAGAAGGCAGAGCAGTCCTGACTGTTGCAGGGTCAGTCTACAGTTCTTGGCTAGGCGAATCGAGAAAATTCTTGAACTGTGAGCTGTTTCCTTACAGTTACTTATTCACAAATGTGCTTTGATGCAGTCATGCTGCTGTTCACGGTTACAACCTGGGGATTTTATGGAATGAAAATAGGAACTTCCACAGATGAAGTAATCCGTAAAAGTGTTTCTGAGGAACACTTTGACACATCTGTATATATTCTGAAGTTGTGGGTTTAACATGTTAATGACAGAACTTAGTGGGTTTATAGAAATGTGTGATTATAAACAGTTTCTGGTTTAAAAAAAAGAAGTCCCTTCATTAAAAGGTATTCTTTTAAGGCTAGTAATAAAAGTGCAGGCACAGTTCCTTACCCTATCTTTATACTCCTCTGTGGGGTTGGGAAGAGATGGTTTTAAAGTTTGAACATGAGTTAGGTATTCAGAGAACCAAAAAAGACAAGTTCTAGCACTTCTTATGCTGGAAAGGCATAACACTGGAAAGCTTGTGGCTTGGTTTTTAATACACTGTTAAGGAGTCTTTAGTACTGGAGGAACTGATGCTTTGTGGTTTCTAAATTTATTGGGAACATGCCCATGTTTTCTGACATACTTGTGTCTTCATTCACTTCAAACAGCCAGGTCAAGAGTTAATTGTTTTAGTAAAGGCCACTGTTTGCTTGGCAGCGTATCTCCCACTTCGTTTTATGCAGAGTTGTCTGAGAAAATGGGCTGCATGTTAACAATTGAACAGAAACACAGCTAAATAACTGCTGTGTGGGCAATTACTCGTTTGTGCCTTGCTCTGTTTCTGCAGTAGTGAGGTGCTGCTGTGTTTGTGTTCTGCTTCATGCGGATTTTAAAGTGCAAAATTGACGGAGAGTGCCTGTGGACTAAAATGAGTCTCAAATTAAATGTATGCTTTTCTGAAAAATACTTGTGTAAATAAAAACTGTTTTAAAACGAGGTATTTTGTCTCAAGCAAGTGATGGATAGGATTGAAAAATTCAAGAGTTATCTCTTTTCCTGTCCCCCCTCCCCCTTTTTTTTTTTCAGTGGAGGTGTGAGTTAACCTTATTTGACATTATGGAATGATGTGTTTCTGTGTTTATAGGAAGGGACTGTCCAGAGGTTCCACAAATCAGTGTCTTTCCGGAAAAAGTGGAGAGTGTCTTCCAGCAGTTTTTGAGAGAAATGTGCAGGAAGCCATCAACAATTATACTTGGTATGCATTCACTTCTGAAATAGTACGTCATTAACAGACTCTTGCCTTAAGTAGGTATTTCAAGATTGGTGTTCGTTTTCATTAGTCATTCTCGTGGATGACAACTACTGTGGGATACAAATTGACCTCACCCATTGTTTAGAGGGTTTGAAGTTCACTCCTGGTTTGTGATACGGATTTACATAGTTTTAGAGCTTAGTGAAGGGCACTGATTAAGCCTGGAAGGGAGGTCAGACTTCACGGTTACACACAAATAATGCTCACCAGTGTTGCAGGTCAGTTAACTTTCAATATGTTTCAGCCCAGTTGGCAGTTGTTGGGATTTGCCTGGCCTTATATGTCCAACTGCCTGTGCTTTCACTGCATCCCAGGGCGGGTAGCGGCTGACAGGGACCAGCTAGAGCTTTCTGAGAGTTGGGGTTCCAGAGCTGAAGGTTTAAGATGCACCAGGTCTAACAGCATAAAAGACATAGTCTACAGATATGTAACTCACATGCTGTTTGAAACATTTGTAGAGATGTTGTGCCCAGTTTTGCATAATTTTCTTGTGATACCTTCTAATAGAGTTAAAGAAGGCCTATGTTTTAATGTGTGTTTTAATGTCTTTAATGTATAGTTTTGATGTGCCCATTAGTGGAACTGGAGAAAACAAAATTGTTAGAGGGGGAAATGCTTGGATATATGTGTGGATATGTTCTAGAGTGCCCTTACAGTTGCAGTGCTATGCAGAAAAGCATAATGCTGTAGGAGGAATTGCCTTTAAGGCAGTAAATGGTACAAATAGGAGCATCTATTCATTGCACTCTACTTAAAAACATACATTTGAAACTCTTCACATCAACTCCAACAGCATGTCCTGAAAATCTTGCATCCAACAGGAATATGTATCACTGTCCATACATGTGATCAGCTGTGTTAGTTTTAGAATGTTTATGCAGAAAACTGCTGTGTTCTTTGTTTTAATTTGTCGTCTTTTCACAGTGAACCTCTTTCATCACTTTCATCTGGTGGTCGTACAACACCCACGGAGCTGAATAATTCTTGGTCTGGAATAAACAGCTATACTACTGGTTTGTCTACTGAGAGAAGTTCAGTTTACTCCTGGAGGGATGATGTACGTCACGGAAACTTTTATGGCATGCTTTATCTGAACATTGTTGAATAGATTAATTTTTTACAGAAAAGACATGTAACACATGCCCTGTAGGAGAGGTTAACCATTTTCATTCATTATAGCCTGATGATTAAGTATATTAATTGAATATTTAAAAAACAGTTCTGTTTGCAAGTTGATATCAGTGGAGCTGATGTGTAACAAAGGAAAATGGAATAAAAATATGAAATTATGAAATTTGGGGAAAACAAACTTCCTTTATCAGAGAAAGTAGGCTCAGGTTTTTGAATCCAGGAGGGTGATAAAATACATGTTTCCAAATCCTGTGTAAAGCAGGCAGTGTCTAAATTGAACTGTTCTCAGTGGTAGGAGTCATGAAGTACATTCTTGAGCACGTATGTAAATGTCCCAGTCTGAGTAAATATTTAGCTCAGTTCTATTTCGTAGGTGATGTAGAGAGAGGCTGAAACTGTTCCAGAGGCTGACCTCTGAGACATACGTGGTGCAGGCTGGCAGCATTTAATAAATTCAAAAACTTGCAGTTGCTGCTGCTTTATCTAAGGAGCCATCCATGGCTGGCAGTGGTAATTCTGCCATACCTTTTGCATAATATCCTGACCTTTAGGGTAGTGACCCCATCCATCACTTCCAGCCCTCCAGGAGAAAGCCTGACTCTGGATCATACAATAGCCTGTGTGAGTTATGTTCCCATTCCTTTTCGGTGTGGTCCCTTCTGTAATCCGAAGTAGTTGGGGCACTCGGCTGGAAGTGAACAGGTACGATATGTACCCTGAGTATTATCACTTTCTTCTGCATTTCAGAGCATCTAATACAAGTGGCCAAATGCTGTTTATAAACAGTCTCCCAGCCGAGAAATCCTCAGCCAAGTGCTCATTTCCACATCACTGGGTAAAGCCAGGCTCTTCCCTGGCGCCTTCATGTGCCCCTGCACTCGCCCGTTTCGGGTTGCACAGAGTTGTAGCTTCAGTGAAGAGGTGTGGAAGCCAGTTTCTCACACTGGGGGTTGTTTACTAATCACCAGACCTTGTCATGCAGAAGGAAGGTACCCCCCCTTGGCTCTCTTAGCGGTCCTGTTCTGAAAGGAGGAGTGCTGCTCAAAAGAGCAGGGAGCTTTGGTGTCGTGGGTCACAGAGGTGCGATGGCGCGTGCTTTGCTCCATTTTGGTGCAGGGAGGGAGCTAGGAGCGCGGACACCTTGTAACTGGTGTTTTCTGTTGCCTAATCCTAGGCAGCTAGTTCCTTTTTGCTACATCACCTTGCTTAGGCCAACTACCTGGGTGGCTTTTTTTACGCTGCAGCGTATGAATATGTCTCCAAAGCCAGTGGTCTGAAGGTCCGTTCCGAGATGTTTAGCCAAATTGGTCCAAGTTGTCCTGTTCTTTAAATACTGTTTAAAATATAAATATTTATGCATATTTGCTAACAATTATTAATTTTATAATATGTAGGAATTTGATAAAGCCAACACACAGAGAGTGCATCAGTTATTTTGGGAGATTGATGAAATGCTGTTTGAAGGAAAAGTGACCTCCCAAACTCAGAGCCTGCAGGCAGAATGTGCAGACTGGGTTGAACAATTTCCTCATCTAAGGTAAGGGAAGTTCTTGATGGTACTCATTTATACCAGTTACCACTGATTTGGATTTTTGGGGTACCCTCTTATGAATTGCTCTTGGTGTATAGCATCAAGTAACACTTTTGCATTCAAATCTTGATCTTGTGATGCACTAAGTCTGGGTGGTGGTGCACAAGCAGCTAATGCTTTTTATTTTGCTTAATACAGTGATTGCAGACATCTTTGTCTGCAAAGGAGGATGTAATGAGAAAATAATGCACCAATTTCATAATGACCTTTTCTACATAAAGAATAACACCTTGGTTTTTTTTTTAATGTAAACGGAGACATACTGTGTAAATTCTGTTAGTGATTCTCCTAGAAAGAAATGAGAAATGGAGGTGTCAACATGCTTCACATGCACTGCCCAGCCATAATGTCTTCCTAGGCTATGTAAATCAGCGTAAACCAATGTGTGATGTTAACCCAGCAGTAGCTAGTTGAACAGATAGGAGGACACATACATGATTAATGCAGATTGTTTTGCACTGATGTGCAAAATCTCCAGGCAGGCCAATGACTGCGTCTTGTAACGGGACAAAGTCAGTGTTGCACTGTGTTGTACTGTCCTGCCTTCATAAATGATGGCCTGTCATTCTCAGTGGGGTGTCGTGGCTCTAAGCTATTGTAAACATAGACCTGCATGTGTCTGTCTTCTACTCAATAGGTTGTTAACACCATTAAAATGAATGCTGGCATACTCTCAATGCTTTTAGATAATTTGCAGAGGCTTGTTATTAGTAAATATAAACCAAAATCAACCAACAAAGCTTGTCACACTTTGTCGGGAATAAGAGAAAATTGTTAAATAAAACTGAGCCAGTTTTCACTGGCATGAAGGCATGCTTTGCCGTTTTTAAATACTGTAAAAATTAATAGGACATGCGTAAAATGGAGACAGGTTTCTGTGCTGTGTAATCAAAAATATTGTCATTTCACTGTATTTTCAGAGTTTTTTCACTAGATGGCTTTTTTTTTTTTAAGAAGTGATTCCCTGTACTTAGGAGTTTTTGATTCAAATCTGATGCTGGCGATACCAACCAAGTCCAAGAGGTTGAAAGCGAACTGAGGAAATCTGGGGGCTGTTTGGCAATTGGCGCTAAGGGATGTGGTACATGCTGTGGTTTAAAAAGAAAAAATAAAGAAAAGGTTGTTTTCATTATTAAGCTTAAACCTTAAAACTCAGTTTATGTTGAATAATTACTCAAAAGAATAGCTCTGGGATGTCAGATTTATTTCTGAGTTGTGCTTTAAAGAGCTCACTGGCTTTCCTTTTAATTTGTAAACCAGCTATTCATACTTAGCTCAGCATGGGGGAATAAATATACTTGAGAACTGTCATCAATAAGGGAAAGATCAGATCTGTTTAAAGAGAAAGCTTTTTGCATCCCTTTCTAAACATTCCTTACAGAGTTTTGTTACGAAAGGAAGTATGTTTATCTACCTTTAGAACTATCTAACTGGTTTGATAATTCGCTCTTAAAAATTATAACCTAGAATCTAATCTTGTGCAAATCAGCTTGCCTTTAATGACTTAAATACTAGGCTATGTTACTGTATTACACAAGGCCCTGACCCCACCATAAATTGCTTTTTCAAAGCAAATGTAAGATCAGCTTTCACACTGCCTACTCTTTGCAGGTATTTGTATTCTTGATATTTGCATATGGAGCAGATTTCCATCTCAGATAAAGCTAGTTCTCTCATTTTCATTCAGGCTTCTAGGAAAGCAGCTCCTATTGCCAAAGGATGAAGGCTTTCAGCATTTTCAGAGCAGAAGTGATGCCTGTGTGGATACGAAGTGTTTACCTGCCTTCCATGAATGTACTAGTAAGATAAAAGAGTATGTTCATTTTTTAGTTTTCTTTTTGGTCTTCCCTCTTCAGAAATAAGTACAAGTATCACTTTTATGTTACTGAAACATTTCAGTATAATAAAATATGCACTTTCTTCTTTCTTTGAATATTTAATTCTCATTTTGTTGATGTTTTTTCAGGCTCTGCATTGCAGGCTCTAAACTGATCCCAACAGCATCTCCAATACATAAATCACTAGATTCAAGTACCACTAGGATTTCTGCCTCTGACTCATCTCTGTATTCGTTCCTGGAAGAAGAAATCTATGATGCGGATGGAAAAATAGAAGAATATCTTGCCTTTGACAAGGAGCTGTAAATAACAGATCTATATATTTTTAAAGAATATAATGAAAAATTATCAATGAACCCAGTCAGGGCTCCTAAACTGTGTTTCTTTTCTGTAAAATCTGTTCCTTCCGTCCCTGTGTTTGGTAGCACCGTGGTCAAAGCACTCACTGGGCATGTGGAAGATTATGTATGTTGTCTTTCTAGAGGTTCAAAACTCACATTTCCCACATCAGAGGCACGTGTCACGACCACTAGTTGTTCTGAGGTGTACGGAGATCAATAAAATTAATATTTAATCTTGAGACAGGGAATAGAATGAAGGAAGCCCTTCTCCCCAAGTGAATGGCTGGACTACCAGGTTGTTTATGGTCATCACACAGTATGTGTTCTCATTGTTTGCCCTAATGAATCTTAAGTTCTTTCTGTGCAGTGTGTAACAGCTTTGTGAGAAGTGCAGGATACAGCCTGCATTTAGAGCAGTCTGGGGAATTACAAGAGTCATGCAACTCTCATCTTGAAAAGGAAAAAGACATGGTTGTCCTGAAAAACTAAGGAACGAGACCCTTTCAGTCCTGTTTGAAAGAGAGGGCCTGGGTGGCTGCCTTTTGAAAAGGCTTTGGGTTTAAGAAGCCTTTTAGGATTCTTCTCTTTGTTTTGCTAAGTGTGCAAGCTTCATTAGGGAGAGAGTCTTGACTGAAAATGTGTTTCTCTCCGTGATATGTTGTTTCTTATTTCTCTTCAATTCTGAAATGTCTTGTTCTCCGTTACTAACACAAAGCCTGATACAAAGGTGGCGTGGTCATTTTGTGAGTTGGATCATTCATCCAGCTCTCAGGTATAGTGAAGGAGTTTGCAGTCCAGTTTGAGGAAGATGTGAAGAAGTGACGGAGAAGGGAAAGGGAAATGGTAGAAACCAGTATGAATTCGGGATCATCCTTGTAATTTCAAAAAAAATTGCATTTTTTTTAGAAAGATGATGGCATTAAAAAAAGAAAACGCTTAAAACATTCTTCCTGAGAAGTATGTTAGAAGAGCAAGTTAGGAAATGTTGCTAGGCTGTGCTTCCCTAGGGAGGGAGGGGGGAAAATAAAATAATTAAAAATGTAACTGTTCACACAGCAGTGGAAAGGGAGGAGGTGAGCGTAAGGCTATGGGCTCTGCAATTCTTGTCAGGCTGCAAAAACCCTTTGGAGTTGTTTCTCTTTGATCAGTGCTGCAGATGTGTGCAGGTACACAGGACATGATCAAAAAGAGATGTCCTGTGTGATAGTCCTCCTGCCAAATACAACAGACATAGGTTCCCTTATGCTATGGTAAAAAATACAGGATTTAACCTCAAATGACTAAGTGCCACACTTAAAGCTGTTCCTTCTAGAGCTGCAGATCTTTCTATTGTAATGCACTGACTGGATTTTTAAAAATTTTTCCCCTGCAAGCAAAAAAGAAAAAGAAACGATTGTATGTGTTCGTTAGGTTCTGTTCCCATAGGTACCCTGTACGTTTGAATCTTTTTGTGATCTACACCTGACTGGCTTTTTTTCCTTCCATATGTATGTTTCTATTCATTTGGTTTATTAGAAGGAAGGGGAAAAAATGTCAAAACCCATGGGAATTCACTTGCATTTGCTTCCTTTCTTAGTGGTGATGAGAGTTGGGAACAGAAGAAAATGCATCTTGCTGAGAAGAGGAGTAAGCGTGGCATTCCCCCTGTTTCTCCCAATGCCTGTATCAAAGATGCCGTGGCTTCTGAAGTATTTGATTGTATCTGGAGCAATGTAATTGGAATATTGGAGGAACTGATTAAAAAAAATTGGGAAACTAGTATCACAGGTATTTGATATTTTTAGATCTGGTATTTATTGTATCTAACTCAGGAATGTGGGTGTTTTTTTTTTTTTCTTAAGGCTTAAGATAGCCATATCGTAGTCCAGTATTGTAAAGTATGTAATGGCTTGCTGCCTGTGTGCCCTGCACCTAGAATATAAATATTCCTACTAATTTTCAGGGAGTTTTGTATGAAGCTTCAATTTTAAGGTACATTCAGCCTCAAATGTAAGTCTACGATGATTAAGAAATGGTGAAATTTCGCAGAATACTTGCAGTGTTGGAATTCAGCATTTCAGGTGTTACTGAAATACAAAAGGGCTTTTCACAGCACAGGTACATTTTTTAGCTCAGTATTGCAGTTCAGGGCAGATAGCTCAGCAGGTTTATGATAGGTGTGCTCTTTGTAAAGGGCATAAACTTAGGACAAATAGCTAACCAACATATTTCAACTAGGAATGTAAAATAATTTGGGTTTATATTGGAAGTAAGATGGTGGCACATACCCAAAATGAAACTCTGTAGCTGCTGTCAGACAAGGATGGGATTGATAGACTTTGTTTGGGGTTTTTTTTTGTGCTTTAAAAAAAACCCCAAAGCTTTGGGAATTTTTAAATAACATTCCAAGAGTCTTAGCAGTATTTTCTTAAACACTCCTCTCCAGCTCTACCTGTATAGACCAACTTCTTAGTCAGTGTCAGAGAAAGCATAAACAAATGGGAATGCTTTCAGGAAAACATCAATTATGGTAGATTTTTAAATATCATGGAAACTTAAAACTGTGTGAAAGTCTTTATTTACTGTGAATCACAGAATCATAGAATGGTTAGGGTTGGAAGGGACCTTAAAGACCATCCAGTTCCAACCCCCCTGCCATGGGCAGGGACACCTTCCATTAGACCAGGTTGCTCAAAGCCTCGTCCAGCCTGGCTTTGAAGACGTCCTGGGGCAGGGGGAAGTCTAATGATGTTTGAATCCCAGCAAATGGTGGATGTAAACATACAAAATACCTTTACTTTTTTTTTTTTTTTTGCTTTTGTACAGAGGGTGACAAACAGGTGGAAAAACTGAAAGCTGTTACAACAAAACTGCCACATTTGCCAGTCATTCGTATTGCAGCAGATGCCGGGAGCATTCCTCTTTCCAGAGGCTCTGAAGCGCGAAGTGTATTTTTTGCTTCCTCCCAGGTAAAAATGATTTTCTGTCAGTGAGTTTTTTTTCTGCTGACCTTGGACAGAGTCCTGGTTTAAGTTAGAAAAGGCTTGAAATATTTAAGTTAATTTAAAATGAAGGTTCATTAAATGTACTTTTCTTGTTTGCAATCACTTGTTCTTTGGTGGTTCTTAAAGATACCATTTTTCACTAAGATATTTCTGAAATTGATTCCCAAAATACCACTTGCTAGACTGTATTTCTCCTTAGGAAATAATTCTGCTTTTATTGTGGTCCAGTCATTTCCTTTTGGTAGAATTAAGAAAGTAGATTAGTCTCTTCCCTGGATTGCAGGGATGTGAAGTTGTGACTTAAAGGGCTTTATGTACAGCTCTGTGAGTTTCAGACTCTGTTCCTTCTCATTTCTTTTGCCTCTTGTAAAAGTAGACTTGCTCTACATCCACCAGTGCACTGGCACTAGACCTTACCTGTCATTGTGGAAGCTCATGTTTGTATTGATAAAACTTTCTGTCCTACTTGCTGCCTTCTCCCTCTGTCCCCTGGCTCCTCTGATGCACACTTGTGCTTTTCCAACCACTGCTGCTCTGTTTTTTTGCTCTTTCTCCACGCTTGCTTGGTAGTGAGGTAAGGAACATGGAAGAGGTAGCACAGCAGTCTTGGTGTTTCCTGCTGGCATGCTTGTTTCTGTACTGGTCCCAGCAGCCAAAAGTGAAACACCTAGATGTAATTCTAGAATCACAGGGTGGTTTGGGTTGGAAGGGACCTTAAAGACCATCCAGTTCCAACCCCCCTGCCATGGGCAGGGACACCTTCCACTAGACCAAGTTGCTCAAAGCCTCATCCAGCCTGGCCTTGAACACTTCCAGGGATGGGGCATCCACAGCTTCTCTGGGCAACCTGTCCCAGTGCATCACCACCCTCTCCGGGAAGAATTTCTTCCTGATATCCAACCTAAACCTCCCCACTTTCAATTTAAACCCGTTACCCCTTGTCCTGTCACTACAGGCCTTTGTAAAAAGTGCCCCCCAGCTTCCTTGTAGCCCCTTCAGGCACTGGAAGGTGCTCTAAGGTCTCCCCGGAGCCTTCTCTTCTCCAGGCTGAATAAGCCCAATTCTCTCAGACTTTCATTATAGGCATCTTTGTGGCCTCCTCTGGACTCGCTCCAAGTGGTCAATACCCTTCTGATGTTGGGGGCTCCACAGCTGGATGCAGCACTCCAGGTGGGGTCTCACGAGAGCAGAGTAGAGGGGCAGAATCCCCTCCCTTGACCTGCTGGCCACACTTCTCCTGATGCATGCCCAGGCTCTGTGCCCATGGGCTGGCCTGTGCTGAGGGAAAATGGAAATTTCGGAGAATCAACGTTCAGCTTCAATTGAAGTTTATATTGCAAGTTGAGTTCCAATTCATTAACTAATTTACCAAAGTTTTGTTTGCAAGAATCTATTTAAAATAAGCAAAATGTCTTTGCTCAATCTACTACTGTGAATTCTACTGAAACACTGTAACAGGAATTTTCTAAGAAAGAAGTAGAAAATCTTTTTGAGGCCTTACTTCAAAAAAAGCATTAAGGTTGATGCGTATTTGTTCCTTTTACTAGGTTCACCGTTTCTCCAGCAACTTCTGCAGTGATTTGAATGGTGTGATGACAATTCAGGCAAAACCACTCCAGCAGAGGCATGTTGCCACAGTGGAAAAAACACAGTAGGTGTTGGTATTGACATGCTCAAAACACCTCACAATCCATACTATATAGAAGATGTTTTGCAATTGTACAACATAAGTAAGAAGGCAGTCATCTTCTTCGTGTGTTGCTGATGTGACAAAGATTTGTAGAGGATACAATTTTTGAAATCCTTTTACTTCTTTAACTTCATCCTCATCTCCTTTCTCCTCCTTTTTTTCCCTAGGAGCGAGCAGGAAGACAAACAGCGCAGCATTGGCTCCAGTACTCCAAATTCAGTGCACACTAGGTTGGAGAGAATTGCTGATAACAGTGTTCTCTCGTCATCTCGAGTACTGCTGGCATCTTCTAGGAAGCAACCAAGCCACTGTAGATTGCCTTATCTCACTTCTGACCAGCTTTCCTCAAAACCTCCTAACATCTACAATGATCAAATCCTTAGGGGAACCAAATTGTGAGTTTTTTCATTTTATTCTCTCCTTTCCTCAAAACTTTACTGATATTTTGCCAGTGAAGGATTTTGTGAAATACTTGAGAACTGACCTAAGATGTGTTATTTATAATAGAACAGAGAAAGAAAAAGAAAGCAAGTAGAACCATGTTTTTGGGGGAGAGACATTTGGTTTTTTGGTTTTTTTTTTGGTTGCTATATCAGGTTCTGTTACTTTCTGTAGCTGACCTTTATAAAGAAATGTACTGCTTAATAATTTCATATTACTTCAGTGAAGAAGTCTTTAATGTGAATTTTCCTAAAAGGAGCACCCTTAAAACTCTCCAGGGGTGCCAGCTCAGATCGTTTATCTTCTGCTCGTGTACCTACAACCCGGAACAGGTTACCACCGATAAATTCGGAGGCTGCTGAACACTGTCTTTCAGTGCCGCGATTCCAACAGAGCTCTGTAAGTTGTGTTCGTTTTTGTACTGGTGAAAAACTTCAAGCTCTTCGGAAAGAAATATCTCTCTGACTGGTTTAAATGAGCAGTTTTACAGTTTGTGTTGGTTCACATTTAATATATGGTCTTGAAACGCTAATGTCTGCTACATTGTGGTACTGTTAGAATGCAAAAGAAGGCAGTTTAAAACCTCAGCTCACAAACGGTCGACTTTCCTCTGAAAACAGAAAAATCTTAAAACAAACAAACCAACCCCAAAAACCAGAAAAACAACTAACCACCTGGCTAGTAACCTTGCACTTATATCCACCTGTATTTAAATATAGTTTTTTGGTGAGGTAAGTCTTACTGATACTTGCCTATTTTTGGAACATAGGGAAGCAGTAAGTTACCAGAGTGAAAGTAAATTGACATTTTGCTATTATTTTGCCTCTGAATAATATTTGGAATTGAACCACATGTGAACTTGTAATTATTATTATGATTTTAATTAATATAAGCCTTTGGGCATTATCAACTAATATTAGGGAACAGTCTCAAATCTGTTTGAAAAACATCAGTACCCTTAAATTACCTTAAATCAGTGGTTTTGGTTAGTGAAAACATATTTTTATTTTCTTCTCTTGTGCTGTTTGTTTTATGGCAAGGGAAAAATACTATTTTAACCAGTTCATTTGCAGCATTCTCTCAATGCTCTTTTAATTCTTCCAGCATCGAGGACGATATGCTCACAGCAGAGTATCGAGTGCAGTGCCTGGTGGTACACAGCAACGGCCACTCAGAGAAAGAACTTTTATTACTGCTCAGTTTTCAAGGCCCAACACAACTCATACATTCAGGGTATGTTACAGTATAACTGGGGACATGGAGAAGTGAAGAAGCTTCTGTTCATGCCCACAGTTGATCTATAGAAGATCTCTCCTGATTCCTGGTGTACAGGGATTCCTGCTACCTATGGAAAGCAGGAGGTTAAAAGGCATTGAGAGGGTGTGGGACCTTGAAAAGCAGGATGAAGAGATTTTTTTCAACTGTTAATGCATCCAACAGTTCTTTTGAGGGTGTCTGTGTACTAGAAGCGTGCAGTTTTGTACTGCTTTGAGCTTTGCAGCTTGGTAGTACTTGCTCTGCTGGACTACATCATAAAAACTGTAATCAAACCATTTCAGTAGATAATTATACTATAGTAGCTAATGGTATGTCCTTCCTTTGTACAGACAGCCACACCTCAGAAGAGATCACGGACTCCAATGGATTTTGCTAACCACAGAGGGACAGGTCCAGGATATTTAATAGGTAGGCAAAGTAAGAATCACTTGGAAGGCAAAAGGCCAACAAAACCTATTAATCCGTAGTACGGTCGAGAAGTAAAGTGCTCAGGGTGAGCCATCTTTGCGTAAAAGAACAACAGGTATGCTCGGCATTACCTTTTCAGTTTGGTTTTGAAGTTTCTTCTCACTTGGTCTGAGATAGCCCTAGGTATGACTGTTAGGAATCCTGCAAAGCTGCTTTTTGTTGCTGTGACGTGGAAGGAAAAGAATTCCCCCTCATCTTAGGTGGTGATGCTATGATTTCAGCATATTTACAGTTGTGGCAAGAGGATGTGGTGTACAGGCTAAATATTTTGCAGCTGCTAGAGTAGCAACACAAACACATGTTTGTGAACTGTTCTGCCTTTTGGTTTCATGACACGAATTTTATTTTAGCCTCCATATAAATTCACCAAATTAGTGAACTTTTTATGTAGGAAAAAATAAAATTGAAAGTGTGCTTTTTTATTGTAAGTATAAAGCTCTCTTAAATAAACAAAAAGGTTAATACTGATCTGCAACTATGTTTTCCGTTTGTAACACTGAAAAAGAGTGCAGCCCTGCATGGCTTATTTAGTCCCATTGGTACAATAAAGCTGGCTAGCTAGTTTCTGAGGTATTTGGGTGCTTGAACATAACCTTTATTTGTTTGGAAGTTCCTTGAGTTTAAATACTTATCTGATTGTCATAATTATATAAAAGGTCATGTAAGGTCAAGGGCAGGTTAGGGAACATTGGTCTGAAAAGGCTGATGGAAGTAACTAATACATAATCCTGGAGTGTCACATTCTACCACAATTAACAATGTTTTATCTTTTCTAGGCTCACAGCACTACTACAGATCTTTTCAGAGAAACCCTTCAACCTCAAGGAAGAGGTTTCAGATTACTTCTTAACCCAGTTTAGGAAGAAACAGGACCCCCCTGCACGGAATGGAAGACTGAAGCACTAAATTTGCCAGCTAGTGTCTTGTGTAACAAAGAACATGGGCAATGTGCTGGTTTCTGCTGAGCCGTGCGATCCTCAGGATGCCTGCATTGCCTTCTTTTAAAGCTGTCTGACCAGAGGTTAGATTAAAATTAGAGCAGAACAAAACAAATGGTTGAGATCCCAGAGTTTTGGGTGACAGCTCTGTTTGCAGAGTCAAGATGCTGCTGCACTTTCTTCTCAGGCATTCCTCCTTTTTCTGTCATTCCTTAGGGAATTGTTACTCTGCCTATAGGAGCAAATAAGTTATGTTTAAGCCATGAAGTCCTGTTCCCACTTCTTTGTGTTTTCCTCAGTGTTGAAGACATTACAGTCTATCCAAACATCAGTTATATATATAACTTATACTTTTAAGCCGGACTTCTTGGCATCTTCTTTTTTATTCCACTTTTAACACTTCTCCATTTTTCAGTAGGCTATCTGCTTACTGCAGTTGCTCTCTTGTAAATATTGTCTGTCCCTACATGTTCTTCCTTTGGTCCTTTTGAGTTGGAATTCACTCATTGCTTCTATTTACGTTGTTCTATTCATCAGTTATTGTAGGAACTGCTGGGATGGACTTTGTATACAGGAAACAGTGTTTTCCCTGTCAGGACAAACTTTTTTGCAGATCCTGAGCAATTGAACCTGCAATTTGACAAGTCAGTAAGACCATTCCCACTTCTTGAGATGTCTTATAACATATTGCCTGTTATTGTTCAAATTAATCATATTTTTTACTATCCAAGCCTTTGAAGCTTTAACGTGAAAATATTTACTTAATTGATGAAGTCATTGTTTCATACCCCTCTGTGTCGACCCAAATGGGCAGATCAGAGAGGAGGTGGGATTGTGTTCTGCCCAGAGGTCACAGCCCTGATCAGGTCCCTGGCTGTTAGTACCCTGTATATTTGCAGTCAGACATTCCTCCTTCCATCAGAAAGCCAGCACTTTAAGTAGCTGTGGTTGAAGGGGAAGGGGAGGAGCTGAAAAACTCAATTATTTTCCCAAATAGTGCAGTTGAGAATAGAATCAGTTTTTTCTACTTGGGAATTAATACCAGTTCTCCTCACTTCTTTTTATTAATGTTCAAGGATTGGTAATCCAGCATTTGTAACATATTTTATATGCATACTGTTTATCAGATTTCTTGTTGGTGTAAATGGTCATCAAATGTTGTATTCTTTTGAGTAAATGAAGCATTTTTAAATTACTTTCCAGGCTTAGTATTTTTCTCCTTTGGCTACACTGAGTTTACTCACTGGTGGTATTATGGTACAGTATCTGAGAAAGAATGCTTTTGCTTTGGTGTTGCAGGTTGATTTCATACATTTGCAGGTCAATGATGCATTTGCTTCAGACATCTGGTGTCAAAGATGGCATAAGGTTCAAACTTCACAATTAAGCCATCTTCAGAGGTGTATCCAAAATGTAATTTTGATCTCATGAGTGCTCCTTCCTCTACTATATAGACATTGGCAGGGATGCAGAGAAATGATGGCAAAACCTGTTCCTTACCATCTTGTGGCGCTTCATGGCAACACAGATCTTAGGATGTAGGCTAAATGAAAAGATGAATATACACCAGTTTGGTTCTGTAATAGCAGAAGTGGGAACCACAGAGTGAAGAGCAGTTCATCGTCTGGCACCTTGTAAAAGTGAGAAGATTACTGGCCTCTGCGGAACCATGGAGCTCTGTCACTGGATTTCTGAATGGAGAGAAAAGCAGAGCAACAAGCATCTGCTTCTGAAGCTTAAAAGGAAAGGAAAACTCTGCTAATTACTAAAGCTGCAATGGAGCACTCTCTGGTGGCAGAGGAGAGGGAAGAGGTGTGTTTATTGGCTCCCAGTATTTTAACACTTCCCTTTTGATCAGTTTTCAGGCACCTGACAGTATCATAGATCATGTTACATCCTGATAAACAGCCTGTTGGATAGGGTTCTTGCCTCTTGATTCTTGCTTTTCTCATGGTCGTGGGACTAGTAAGTCTCACTTTCTATACCACCTGCACACCTAAGTATTTACAAAGCCTCCTTGTGCATGAGAATAGTGTTGAAGTGAATGACTGTAAATCTGGACCTCTAGGGCCATGACACAACAGCAGCTGCCATGAACTGGGCCCTGTACTTCCTTGGACATCATCCCGAAGCCCGGAAGAAGGTTCACAGAGAACTGGATGAGGTGTTTGGTACATTTTCCATTCCTCCTTTATCAGGGTTGAAGAAGTGGAGGTAGGAATGTGTCTTGTGGCCATTCTGGAGCTTTGAGTAACTTAGAGGTGTTTGGGATGGGTGCTGGGATGTCTCTAGGAGAGAGTACTGAGACGGTTCCCCAAGTAGAGGACAGGGGTTTTCTTGTTTTACTGTGAAGCAGTTTATAGAAAGTCACTTAATTGCTGTTACTTTGACCCTTCTCCCTTTCCCTTTTCTCCTTAGGAGCATATTGGGTACCAAAAGGCACAGATACTCTTTTCGTAGCTTATGCCCTGTGTAGAGACCCCAAGATCTTCCACAACCTGGAGGAGTTCAGGCCTGAGCGATTCTTCCCTGAAAATTGTTAAGGAATGCACCCGTATGCTTTCCAGGTGTTTAGGGTTGTTGACAGTTTGCCTGTATCCATTCCTTTGTAGCCGATGTCTCTAGTCTTGGGGTGATGTGGAGGAAGTGTCACCCCTATTTTCCTGTCAGTCTTGGAGCGGTTTCAGGGTAGGCTCTGCAGCCCGGTGTGGGTGTCAGGGTGTTGGCGACGGGGGTGCTGCTTGGGTGTCCTCTGTGAGAAAAGGCCTGAGAAGAGGGAACAGCCCGTTCCTGCCAGCTCTGTAATGGACCTGCTCCAGGACGTCGCTGAGCCCATCACCCCAGCTGCTGGTGCCTCTGAAAATCTACTTACGGGTGTGGGGAATGCCAGGCAGATAGACAGAGGAGGAGGTGGCAGGGAAGAGAGGGCAAAACAACAGTGCAAACACCAAGGTCAGTGAAAGAGCGGGAGGAGGTACTTAAGGCACCAGAGCAAAGATTCCCCAGCATCCTGTGGAGAAACCATGCTGGAGCAGGTCTGTCCTCCAGGGCTGCAGCTCATGGAGGGGACCCATGCTGGAGCAGGAGAAAAGTGTGAGGAAGAGGAGGAGGCAGTGGCAGAGAGGAACTTTTTTGTCTTTGTTTCTCACTTCCCAACTCTCTAATTGGCAATACGTTAAATTGAATTCCCCTGAGTTGAGTCTGTTTTGCTCATGATATTGTGACCCAGGAGCTTTGTCATCCTTTCTTCTCTCCCTGTCCTCTTGAGGAAGGGGAGGGAATGGGTGGGTGTCTGGCTGCTGGCCAAGACTAACCCACCACAGCTTCTAACAGGCTGTCCAGCGCTCGCTGTGTACATGCAGGTACATAAAATGTGGAAAGTGAATTTCCTAGAGCAAATATTCTGTGCTCTGAGCGTGCAGGTTTGCAGTCTCGTGTGATTCTGGGACTCGCCATCGCAAGGCCTTCCAGATCTTAAACTGACACTTTTGTTTCTGCTCCATGACCTCTGTAATGCGTTTGTGCTCCATGACCTTCATGTAATGCATAGCATGTTGCTAAATGCTTTATTTAAACTTGCTAAGAGTTTAGCAAGGAGAAGACCCTGTAGGATCTAGCCAAACCGCAGAACGGTGGGCTGAATCTCCACCCATGACCTGGGGGCAGGTTGTGGCCATCCAGTTTGGGAGTAGGCTTTTTCCCTTGACACATGGATGAATAAACATCAGTCAGGTGCTTTGGTAGCTGTTCAGTATTAATGACAACATCAGTGGTGCATTATCAGAATGGCTTTACAGCAGTAGGCCATGGTCTGAGGGTTGGGTGTTGGCCCAAGCTGCAACCTGCTTTGTTGGGAGGCATGTTATTATCCTGGCATGCGTCTTCTGGCATGGAAGATCTCGGTTTCTTAGCAGTAGCAAATGTTTGTGTTCTGTTGGGGATAATTTATTCATGTAGAACTTGATGTTGTGAAGGGGTCCCAAACGATGGCTGCAGAACCGAGCAATTGTTGCTGTACAGTGAACAGCAGGTTGCAGAAACCTTGGTATGCCTGATTGAGGTGGGTGTCACAGCAAACAGTCTTGTCTCTGAAAAATGTGCTGTGGTCTCTGTCTCTCAAATGGCAGTTAATCTCCTTTACCTGTGTGAGGAAAGACAATCCACAGAAACATTGGAAGCTGGAGTCTCCCTCAAGCTTTAGGCTTTGAAGCTTAGATTTTTAGGCTACAGTGGCTTGAAGTTCAGCATCGGGCCCTAAAATCCCTCTCTGAGGATGGGGGAGATCTCTGAGCTGTTCAGAATCATGTTGTAGCTGTATATGTTGAGAAAGAGGGAAGCTCTTCCTAAGAAAAAACATTCCTAATTGCAAATGAATTGTAGTGATTGCTAAGTTAGCAACTGGTTAGTCTTGCTTACTGTGGATGCTGTGTGTTTTGCAAGGGATGGCAAAAGCATCAGGTATGTCTTGGCTGGGGCAAAGGACTAATGTAAAGAGCACACCACAGTTTTTAAAAATGCGTTGTGTACTTCTCTTTTGTCCTCTGTTGTACCAGATCCGTTTTAGCCTTACTTTGCTTTCTGGTTTTGTTATTCTTGCTGGTAACAATGGTTTTATCAATTTCCTTAACGAAGAATCCAGATCTGGTTTCTAGGGACCAGCAGAAGCCTGGTGTGCATGGGCTGACATAGCTGGCTGACAGATGTTTGCCTTCTGTTGGTACGGGCAGATAGGCTTCTGCGTCTCTGGGAGGCTGAGTTAGAGCAGATTTGCACCGTTAATGCATGTTTACAAGAGCAATGACTCACTAACCCGTGGAGTGCCTGCTGAAACCCAACACTGAGCAAAAGGGAATGTTAACCACAGTTCGGTAGAAACTTCCTCTCCTACAGAACATCTTCCAAGGTTCGTGATGATTGCAAGTCTGTGACATAATTAGACCTCAGAGATGCCAGGCATTTCTTCTATCT